TCGCTTGGGTATATTTGTAGCAATAGCCAAAAACACATTGTATGGGGTCAAAATGATTGATTTTTCTTTTATGCCAAAAATCATTAGGATATTAAGTAAAGATCATGTTCCATGAAGATATTTTGTAAATTTCTTTTGTAAATTTCTTACTGTAAATATATCAAAACTTAATTTTTGATTAGTAATATGCATTGCTAAGAACTTCATTTGGACAACTTTAAAGATGATTTTCTCAATATTTAGATTTTTTTGCCCCCTCAGATTCCAGATTTTCTAATAGTTGTATCTCAGCCAAATATTGTCCTATCCTAACAAACCATACATCAATGGAAGCTTATTTATTCAGATGATGCATAAATCTCAATTTTGAAAAAATGTTGTGGTCCAGGGTCACATACAGTATATCCTGAGCACTGGTGGTCACATACGTGATGGGGAAGTTGACAATAGTTGGGTTCTTCTCCACAAAGAAGTTGTTCTTGGTGAATCGCTTGATGCAGAAGATGAGGTACGGAGGAAGTTTGGTGAGCTGGAACCTTTTCAGAAAGTTCTCTTTGTACGTCTTGTACTCCTGTGACAAAGTCAAAGGTAATCATTTATAAAATAATAATATTATTTTTAAACAGCTAAAAGTAAATATATAGCATTTTACAAGAAAATACTTTAAATAGCATATTCAATTATCAAGCATTTTGCCCTTCTGTCTCCACAAAAACCATTCACAACGTTGACTTCCGATGGAATTCTATTCAAATGATATTCCAAAGCTGACACTGTATTTTACTTGCAACATAAGTCAGTAAAAATAAATCATACTAATGGTTCCAAAATATATATTTCATACTACAGCTACAGCTATTGAAGTAGCTGAAAGCAAAAAAGGGCTAAATAAATAAACAAACAAACAAACACATTTTGTAATAAAGCCAAACAGCTCTTCCAGTTAGTGTTATTTTAGTAGTATTTAGGGATGTAATGATTACCGGTTTGACGATAAATCGTGATAAAATACCCCACGGTTAGTATTACCGTTTCATATTTTAATTATCACTATAACCGTATTCGATTACCGCGATTTAAACAACTGAGGATAAATAAATACTGCACTGCACAGGGTTCCAGAGTGCGACCAAATGGGCGCATTTTGCGATAATTTTTTCTGCCGGTGCGACTAAATTTTGTGTGCGGTCGCACTGGCGCGACCACCGCATTGTTTAACTCATAAGCGCTGCATTTCTGTTGCATATGAGAAACATAAAACGGCAAACGAAACTGAAAGCATAACGAAACCGCGCAACTCGTTTGAACTGCGCAGCGCTTATAGAGTGTAGAGCCTGGTTTATACTCGCCACGTCAGGAGCGCGAAGCTGCATGCAGCAAAAATTACGCGAATATTGAGGAAACGATGGATGGGTTTCATGCTAAAGGAAATTAAAAGACCTCTTCTTAATCCAATTTATTGTTGTTGTGCTTTTTAATTAAGAATAACAATGAATCCATCTTTTGTTTTAGTCTTAAAAAGTTAAATATGTATAGATGTATGTAAGCAAATCAGACAATTATCTTTTCTTGTAAAACGTGACACTAAGATCGCGAATCCGAAAGTGAAAGCATCCGAAGCCCGGCTTATAACACAGCTAAAGAGAAACTCCCGTTCACAAAATTCAAATCACAAATAATACTGATGAAAAAGAAGGGGTTGAATGTTAACCACTTTCGTTTTCATATAACTATAAACTATGATAAAAGCTCATCAGGATGCATTGATTAATCATGTGCTGGTGTGACCAACTGAGATTTAAATGTAAAACTTGGTGAAATTATTTGTGTGTCAGTACTTTTTTTGAACATTTCCAGCACATTTTAACAATACCATGATAATACTGATAACCGTGATCATTTTGGTCACTATAATCGTGATAAGAAATATCTCATACCATTACATCCCTAGTAGTATTTATATAATATTGTAGTATTTATTATTTTGAATTTGCACTTATTTTTACATTCTCAATTTACATTTAAGTTTAGTTTAAGCCTATATTATTGTTTTTCTACATTAAGCTTTAATGTACTTTTATTTCAGTTTTAGTCATTTTAGTACTTATTTCAGTCAGTTGACATATTTCAGCTTATTACAATGAACAAAATCATTTTAATAGGTTTAGTTTTAGTTAACAATAACAACACTGCTTCCGGTGAAATGCAGCAACACCAGATGCAACACACCATGCTTAGGCTAGCACATGAGTGGATAATACAGAAAAAAGAGAAAATAAATAATAGGGGTGCAACGATAAATCGATTTGTGGATCGATTCTACAATTTTCGTGAATGCATCGCAATTCTCTTTTGGATCAATTCTGAGCTTAGTTTTTAACAGCAGATGTGTGCTTTAGAAACAGCCGTACTCTGCTTGCTTCCAGTTCCTTACACACACACACACACACACACAGCACTTGAACCTAAAATAATCATTCATACAGTTTGGGCTGTTTACATTAATCTTGTGTCATGAAAGCATAAAAGCCAAGGTGCAAGTGCATTTAAACACTTGCGTGACTCAGCCGAACGCACAAGCGCTCTTCTACATGAGCATTTGAGTGTGCGGTTACAATCTAGCCTATTTGGCCATCTATGGCAAATTTGACCTTCACATGTCCATCTGCGCTGCTGATATATATATATATTTTTTTTTAAGTTTATTACCAAAATGAGCGTTGCACTTGCTTCTCCTGCAGCCTGTTCTTCTTCTATCCAGAATGACAGCTCTCTATTGTACGGACAGTAATTTGCATTTCCTATAGCTTATTCATTTGGCTTTTTGTGTAACTGTGTGTGACCAACTGAGAAAGTTAGTCGCAAAAGAGCGACCAGTGGGAAGAATGAGTCTGGAGCCCTGAAGCATAAAACACAGTTTTATTACATTAGATATTTTACATTTACATTAGATATTTGAACATGTTATTAGATAAACTGTTGTCAGTCATGTTGTCATTTAAAATCCGGACATCATTGGCAATGTTATTGTTTTAGTTATGCAAACAAAAACTCATTTTATTTGTTGTTTGCTGATTTTAAATGTAAAACTTGGTGAAATTATTTGTGTGTCAGTACTTTTTTTGAACATTTCCAGCACATTTTAACAATACCATGATAATACTGATAACCGTGATCATTTTGGTCACTATAATCGTGATAAGAAATATCTCATACCATTACATCCCTAGTAGTATTTATATAATATTGTAGTATTTATTATTTTGAATTTGCACTTATTTTTACATTCTCAATTTACATTTAAGTTTAGTTTAAGCCTATATTATTGTTTTTCTACATTAAGCTTTAATGTACTTTTATTTCAGTTTTAGTCATTTTAGTACTTATTTCAGTCAGTTGACATATTTCAGCTTATTACAATGAACAAAATCATTTTAATAGGTTTAGTTTTAGTTAACAATAACAACACTGCTTCCGGTGAAATGCAGCAACACCAGATGCAACACACCATGCTTAGGCTAGCACATGAGTGGATAATACAGAAAAAAGAGAAAATAAATAATAGGGGTGCAACGATAAATCGATTTGTGGATCGATTCTACAATTTTCGTGAATGCATCGCAATTCTCTTTTGGATCAATTCTGAGCTTAGTTTTTAACAGCAGATGTGTGCTTTAGAAACAGCCGTACTCTGCTTGCTTCCAGTTCCTTACACACACACACACACACACACACCACTTGAACCTAAAATAATTATTCATAAAGTTTGAAAAGGTTGAAGCGAATTACAAGTGTTTACAGTGGGCTGTGTTTACATTAATCTCATGTCATAAAAGCCCAGCGCTCTTCTTCCTGAGCATTTAGGCTACGTCCACACGAAGCCAGAGCTTTCCCCATCCGATCTTTTTTTTTCCCTAGTCTCAAGAAATATCTGCGTCCACACGAAACCACAAAACAGACACAAAACGATGTAGTATACATGCCAGACCAGCATGTGGCGCTGTAATTCTGCCACAGAGATACACTAAAAACGGAGAAGAAGACTTGGACTATGCGCATAAACCTTGCGTGCGGTATATAAACGAACATGGAACAATACATTTATTAATCTGTGTTAATGTTAGTTAATAAAAAGACAACTGTTCAGTGTTTGTTCATGTTTTTGTTGCCGTTACGTGACGTAGCGGTGTCTGACTAGGGGCGAAACATGGGCTGATGACATCGTCGTTTCAGAAAATATACGGATTCGCTGTCCACA